ACCTCTCCCTACCCTCCCTCTCTCTCCCTCTCCCTCCCCTCCTCTACTCTCCTCTCTCCTCTCCTCTCTATTCCGCTCCCCCCCCTCCTCTATACTCTGATACAGTTCCTTAGGCGGTTGGCCCTTCCCAATATCTTCTATTTCCTCTTCCGAATGACCGTCAGCGCCATCGTCATCGTCATCATTGCGACTTCTTTCACCAGATTAAGTCAATATGCGGCGTCGCCAACCAACACCAAGCTCTTCCTCCGACGATGATAGCGATGGGTCAGACATTGAGAGCTGCTTCGACGCAAAGGATGAGCAAGAGGAGACTGACGCTAACACTGAGCCGACGGATATTGATACCGATACTGATCTGGTGGATATTAACATCGATATCAATAGATGCGATGAAGCAGATCTGGCATGGATTATTGGAGACGACAACGCCCACCCACTAGAATATTATCTTGATCAAGAGAATGATTCCGACGAATCCGAAGATAAAGGTGAGGATTATAGCAATAGTAGTATCCTCCTCCTTAATAGGATCGAGGCGCAATTCTATTAGTATATACCTTACCTTGCATCTGCCGTCTCTTATACTTTTACTAACTAGCTCTCTTTAAAGGTACTGCAAATATATACAAAAGGATCCTGCCTAAATAATGCAGGCCTTCTCTCGCTGCTCTCTAAAAGCCTTCTTCGAATAGATATTAAATTAGCGTTAAGGTAAGGGTAGGAGGCGGCTTGCAGGTATTAAGTCGGCCAGCACCCTTAGGACATATTAGAAAGTCTTCCGGCTTGTCTATAAGCGAGCGACAGGTGAGAAAATCTAGAGCAAGATAAACCGCCATATGTATCAGGTGAGTAATATTGCTGGTTAGCCGGCTAAATCCTCTCTAAATTATTATAGAGCAGAAACTAATTAAATATTTGTTAGATCTTAAGGAAACTGGCAAAGAAGCACCGCCTGACAACGGAGAAGCGCGAGAAGACGGCAATATATATCAAGGATCTCGCTGGCGTCCTCTAAACTAACTTGACTATAATAAAGAAAAGATACACGCACGGCCGGCACCGCATCCAACTCGCCCTCTTCCACCATCTGGCTGCTTTCTCTGGGAACCGACCTTCGGCAGTGCTAAACCTCTGCTACTGTCATATTATTATGACTTTACTTCAAGATCCTAATAGTGGGCCCCATCGGATCCTCATCGAATTTACATACGAATTCACAAAATAGTATCTCGGTATGAAAGATGCGTAAGTCAATTATACTTTTTCTCTACCTCCCCCACCTCTTCGGTTCTACACAACGTGTTGGCTCACAGAGAAGCTAGGAATACATTTCCACTCCCCGAGATCATCTTCGACCCGTCCCTGGTCCTTAGTCCGCATGTTACCCTGCTCGGCCTCCTTGCCGATGAAGCGTTTTTAGCCCCGAATCTCACATCTGCCGATCGGCGGGTTAGATATTCGGCCTGGCTATAAGCAGTTGCCCTTACATCTGAAGCCAGAAATGGCTAATATCCCCGTCTTCCGCAAGTCTATTAACACGTTATACGGGTGGGAGATCTCGCTAGACTAGCAATTGCTATACTCCACCCTCTTGCCGTGGATAAAGAAGCTTAGTGTGCTTATAGGGTTCCCCCAGATCACGCGCCTGTATAGTCTCTGATATGGTGCGGGCAATGCATTTAACTAGAGCGGTTCGTCTCTTATAGCTTTTAGCGCCTTCTCCCCGCTGCAAAAGTTTATTAACTATAGATGAGCAGGTGACGTAAGCGATGCGCTCTAGAATATAATACTGCAACACGCTAAGATTAATACCTTCATTAAGCACTACCTCCCGCGGCGGGTTACCGCTGATACGAGGGCGATTGTCTCAGGCTACGAACCTCAGTGCGACCTCATGCGGGCGGCCTGTCGGATAACTCGATGGATCGATCCTGATCGGCCACAAGAACTCACGCTCAAGCAATCCCTATCAGTCAATCAGGATCCCTATATCCGCCGCGTCATTAGACAACGAGAGAAGTGGAAGCGCTGCTTTCAGGGTACAGGCACAGCGACACAACAGCCCGGATACCGAATCCTTGGCCGCGAAATCTCTAACACAAGGCAGCAGCTCAGATCTGCACTCCTGAAGCGGATCCAACGTCAATGGGACCTGGAGAACCCGGTTAATGAGGTCGAGCTACAGCTCTCCAGGCTCAAGTTCGACCAGGAGGTTAAGACTAACCTGGACTTGGCCGACGACATGCCCCCGGTCCAGAGGCGCTTGGTTGAGACGATAATAACCCTCCCGGGAACGACCTTGGAGGAAGAGCTTCACCGACGCAACGCTGCCATTGACGCGGTCGCTGCCTACTGTAAATTCCAGGAAGGGGGAGCTGCTGCTCAACCACGTAGGAGGGCGATTCCATCGCCCTCCAAAGAGACCAACCCGCAGCTGGCAGCCGCGGAAGCAGAGAAGCAAGCCCTTGGTGCCGCTATGTTGCTGGTTTTTACGGAAAAGAGGCCAACTATCTGCTTCCTTTGCTTAGGGGAGCAAACCTTGCCGTTCGAAAAGCGCACCAAGTCATTTGCGAGCCCAGGAGATTTAACAAAACATTTCAAACGGAAGCATCTGGCTCATATCACAAAAGGAGATCGGCTCGGGTGCAAGGTCTGTCGAATGACTTTGCAGCATAAACAGCATCTCCAGAATCACGCAGAGAGCGTCCACGGGACGGTTTCTTGACGGTTCAATAGTATCGAGAATACACAATTATACTAACTATAACCAGGCTGCTTCTATGTCTTCTGGAATCTTATTGTATTTTCAATATTCTGGGGGAACTCGTTTTCACGGCTGCGAGCCTGGCTCCGTATACGCAGCGACCGACATAGGCATCCATTTTTCACCTCCGCTACTTGATTTTTTTTATCTTTCTCTTCCGCGATATAAACGTTAATAAGTTTATCCTTGGCATTTAGTTGTTATTTGTTAATTATATAATGCAGATAGACCAAGATATTTTCTATTTCCTTCCTCAATTCGCTATTACAAGATATTCGCCAATTCTTTTTATTTATGATCAATTCTATAAATACCATTATATTTTTGGATCCCAAAGTCCAGTTATATATTATTCGGCTCCTCGCAGATAATAATATACTCGATTGCATCCGGCGAGGGTATTCTGATATATCGACGGAATTACACGCGAAGGATATGTTTATAGAGCTCATGGGCGAGGTGGAAGTAGGTCAGGCGAGATTGGGAAAAAGCGCAGAAAATTGTTGTTAAATTCTATGATAAAACTGGAAAAGTAGATGACCTATTTGTTATAACAACTAAAAAAATACGGAAAATGATGGCACTTTTCCGGCAGAGACTTGTTGGATGGAAATATCTCCTCGCTATGGGTTCATCTCCTATTACTCCTCCTCTTTAGTCTGGTTATAACCACGAAGCATAGAACCGCATCTGAGCTCGTCTAATCTGATATCACCAATCCTATTTTGGTCGTGTTCTTGATCTATTTGAGGTGCGATAATGTTACGACACACGTGACCGAGGGACCTTAGGCTCAGCACTGATAGCAGTGGTAGGAGAACCCTTGGGAAGACTTCCCTTCTTATCTGTACATCATTGGTCAGTTACGGGGCCACCTCGGGTTGGAGGTGTGCCAACCAACAAAGTCACGTGACCAGGGTCAGCACGCAATGTCGGCTTTGGTCTGCACGTGAATTAAAAAGGGTACGTATAGGTGTCCGGTTGTGAAGGTGCTGGCTGATATCCCCAGCACGCCTTACTGAAAGTTCGTAGCCGGAAAGAGGATCTTATCGCACTGATATTTCTGGCTGAAGTATCCGCCCGTAGAAACTATACTTACAGTGCATAACGACTTGGTAATCTGGAGGTAGGTTGGGTTAAGGTCGGGATGAGAAACAAGTGAAAGCGCCTTAATTATTGGTATTAGCACTTTGGGAACCATAGTATTCTCTTACACTTCCTCCCTCCAGGCCGGTAAGGGAAAAGTTTACTTAAACATCCAGTAATAGTATTCTGAGCATAACGCATCATGCTATTTCACTAGCTCCATTACCTCACTTTTTGCCCACAGACGGCAGCATTCGCACGAGAGGAGGGGATGTGACACACCCAATGATGGCGTGACTTTTCTTTGTATTTGGCGAAGATTCGCTATCATTTTTAGATTATAGACTGTAGATCAGCCTATGTTCTGGGTGACCAGGTCTTCCAACCGAACAATTTGTCATGTAATGACCCTATAGCTACCCATGTTCGTCTAGAGCGCATTTGGGGTTGACGGGTTGACGATAGGGCTGAATTAAGGGTAGCTGCATCGCTCTGTCGGTGCCTTGCTAAGCGAAGTACTTGCTAAGCGAAGTAGTCATGGTTCCGCTTTTTTGCATTGCTAAACTCACGTCAATATACTTCCAGGCGACCAAAACCATCTTCCTTCATCACGCAAATGCTTTAGAGACTGCTCGCAGGCACTCACTATGTCTTCAAAGCAGAAAGCCAACTCTGACTCTAATGGGAAAGCGGACGTCAAGACTGGTAGAAGAGTGTCCAAGGCCACGGGCTCAACCCCAGCAGCCTCAACCCCAGCAGCCGGGACGCCGCGCAGCGTTGGTAGTGACGATGATGACTTTGACGACGACGACGATACCGAAATGCCAGATGAGCTTAAGACCGTCTTCTCCAGCTCCGTCATCTCCCAAAACGTTCGGAAATTCGATATCAGTTCCTTCCCTTATATGCTGCCGCCCGGTATCATAGATTCAGCCTTTAGGCATTTCCAACCTCCGCAGAAGCGAGAATTTACGGCCATGCCATGTAAGGCACTCTTTTCCTTTATTTCTCATCTTGGATTTTGCTATTTGGGGCCCCAAACCCTCTTTCATTTATCCCTTACGGTACTGATTATACTATCTTGCTGTAGTGAAGCCTGATCACCACAATCGTCCGCTCTGGATTGATGGCTGGGGGAAGCTCACTCTTGAGAGCTTTCATCCACTAGCGCCTCGGGTCCAGGACTTCATTATTACGATCGCTGAACCAATGTCACGGCCCACATTCTTACACGAGTACAAACTTACGACTCACAGCCTATACGCAGCAGTTTCGGTTGGACTGAGTCCGAAGGATATCATACATACTCTCGACGTATTTTTGAAGACTGAAATGCCACCGAATATCATCGCATACATTACACACTGCGGAAAAAGCTATGGCAAAGTGAAGATCGTGCTAAGAAGCAATCAGTACTTCGTCGAGACTGGGGATCCAGCGATATTGCAAATGTTGCTGAAGGATCCTGAAATAGGTCTGTGCCGGGTCCATGGTGCCCAAGAAACCACCACAGGCGCTCCGACGATATCTGGACTTGCGATCGCGGGAACGAAGGACGCTGCTGGTATACGTGCGGCCCAGGGACTAGATAACCGCAAATTGAACCAGGATCAGGTCGCACCAGATGCGACGGTTGAAGGCCTTTATGCTGCATTGGACGAGGATGATGGGGAGGATGATGAGCGGGAAGTTATTCATGCATTCCAGATTCAAGACGATAAAGTGGTCACTGTTACTCAACGGTGTTTAGTATTACACTACCCTGCCCTCGAAGAATACGATTTCCGGAATGATACTACAAACGCGAACCTCGAGATTGATCTGCGACCATCAACTCAAATTCGGTCATACCAAGAACAGAGTCTCAGCAAAATGTTCGGTAACGGCCGTGCAAAGAGTGGCATAATTGTTCTGCCTTGTGGAGCTGGCAAGACGCTAGTAGGCGTTACAGCTGCTTGTACCATCAAAAAAGGGGTTATTATTCTAGCCACTAGCAATATGTCAGTGATCCAGTGGAGAGACGAGTTTTTGAAATGGTCAAATATCAATCCTGATAGTATTGCTATTTTCTCTTCGGACAACAAATCTATTTTTACGGGAAATACTGGAGTTATCATTACAACTTATTCTATGGTAACAAATACACGAGAGCGTGCGCACGAATCGGCTAAAATGATGAAATTTCTTCAGAGTCGGGAATGGGGCCTTATGCTTTTGGATGAAGTACACGTCGTGCCCGCACAAATGTTTCGAAGAGTTATCGGTAATATCAAGTCTCATTCGAAACTGGGTCTAACAGCTACGCTTCTTCGAGAAGATAACAAAATTGAGGATCTTAATTTCTTGATAGGACCGAAACTTTACGAGGCTAATTGGAGTATGTAACCCGGTCTTCTTTTTCTCTGGCCTTATTTTTTCCTGCCCAGGAAGATCCGAGAAGCGCTTCATCCTTCCAAGTTCTGTGGTCCATGTCAAGAATTATACTAATTGATTATAGTGGAACTTTCGCAGCAAGGTCATATTGCAAAAGTCCAGTGTGCTGAAGTCTGGTGCCCTATGTCCACCGAATTCTACAGTGAGTATATGAAAGCTAGCTCGCGGACTCGGTCCTTATTTTGTGTCATGAATCCATCCAAGTTTCAGGCTTGCCAGTTCCTAATCAAATATCACGAAAGCCGTGGCGACAAAATAATTGTCTTTTCAGATAGTGTTTACGCCCTTGAGGCTTACGCGAAAAGATTGATGAAGCCGTATCTCTATGGTGGGACCGGAAATGTAGAGCGCCAGCAGATCTTGAACTATTTCAGAAACTCGCCACAGTGCAGTACCATTTTCCTCAGCAAAATTGGCGATACATCGCTAGATCTCGTATGTAACTTTTATTGAGTATCTTATTCCTACAATTGGACCATTATGAGAGCTTTTGCGAATGCTCTGGGGTCCTGAGACTTCTGTCCGACCCGAAACTCCAAGCTGTTTGTCAAGGCAATGCTAACTACCCAAAATTTTAGCCTGAGGCGACCTGCCTCATTCAGATCTCATCGCAGTACGGCTCCCGCCGTCAAGAAGCCCAGCGTCTTGGACGTGTTCTTAGGGCCAAACGACGAACTGAACATAAATTTAACGCTTTCTTCTACTCGCTTGTATCTAAAGATACGGTGGAGATGGCATTTTCTTCCAAGCGGCAAGCTTTCCTCGTAGATCAGGGATACGCTTTCAAAGTAATCACGCATCTGCACGATATTGAAAAGACGCCAGACCTTGCCTTCGCAACCCCCGGCGCCCGGCGCGAGCTCTTGCAAAAGGTCCTTGTCGAGCTCGAGAACAAATCGTGGGCACAAGAGGAGGAGAAGGAGAGGGCTGCTCTTGCGGCAGACGGAAACATGTTCTACAGTCCGGATGGAAAGCCAATGCGAAAGGGGCCGAATCGGAGGATGGCGGTGGCTGCAAAGAGGACAGCGGGGTCACTAGAGGAACTCGCTGGCGGTCAGGATATGGCGTACATCGAGCGAAATAAGAGTGTGAACAAGTCGGCTAAGAAAAGAAGTGGTCCCCAAAGTCAATTTTTCAAAAAGCTGTCAGGGCAGCAAGAGAAGAAAAGAAAGGCACTCGAGGAGTAATTGGCACTAGCTGTAGCTTAGGCTTTTAGGGCCTCACTGCTTTCGCGGCGTTTGGATATCAGGTAGCGAATAAATCGAGACAAATTCTATCTAGTTAGTAAAAAACAAGTTGCGCCGCGCTCCACGTTGCGCGGCCGACGTGTAATAGGGGCCAGGCGGCTAATTAGTAAGCAGGCCGCTAGCCTATAAAGCATAACCTAGGATACTATATAACCTCGCCTGCTAGACTATAAAGTATAACCTAGGATATTATATAACCTCCCTTCTAATTCTACTTTAGCTTACTTACTTCTTATTCTTAACTATTAACCTAACTATCTACTTAGATGTCTTAATATGCCTTAGCCTTAATAGACTTCCTTTAAGTAATAGCAGCTTAAATAAGAGTATAAAGCTAGATAGTAGTAATAAATTTCTGCTTAATTAGCACCTAAACTAGAACTACCTCTTATATAAGCGCCCTTTTTCGGCGAAATTATAAAATCCGCGCGGGGTGATTAGTCCAGGTGTAAGGGGCGAGCCCTAGAGGTAAAGCACGGGCTATGCCCATGCTTAGCTTACTAAGCCTTAACTAGGGAGCGCTTACTTTTCTTTAGATCGAGATAAAGATTCTTCTCTCTCTTTTATTAAACTTATTAAATACTATACTAAGCCTCTATATATATATGACTTACTTATAATATTAAGTTTAATTATTTATAGATTTATAGCTACCTATTAGCTTTATACTAGACCCTACCTCTTATGCGCGGGCGGTTTTTCGGTGAAAGCCCAGATGTGCAGCACGCGGATTGGTCCGGGCGCAGCTGACTAAGGCACTTTCTAGTAAAAGCCTATTTTAGTAAAAGACTATTCCCCCTACCCCCCTTTTAACTAGCATCTACTTGTCTCCTAGCAAGCTCCTTATTATATTCTTATATAATTCGACTTATAGAGTTGCCGTCTGCTATATTTGCAAGTCCTATATCGTCCTAGGGACTTATAGTTAAGAGCAGCACCTACAAGCGCAGCTATACTAACTCTTAGGTGAGGTGCTAAAGGCGATAGTAGAGCTTCTTAGCAGCTATAACCTAAGAAGTGTTATAGAGCTAAGAGAGTATAAGCCTTAGCTAGAAGATAAGTGTCAGCTAATTAAGCATTTAGCTAGCTATAAGGGCGTTTACTATCTATAGTCGCACTGCAGCTATAGTACCTGCCTTCTCTTTAAGATAAAGAAGCATTAGGCTTCTTATTATAAGATAAAAGCAAAACCTTATAAGAGTAGCCTGTTATAGAAAGAATATAAGCTGCAAATCTACTTTACTAGGAAAGGCCGGATTGATTACTTTATAGTCAAGGATAATAAAGATAGGGTTAGTAGGTAAAGGGCTACTACGGGTTCTTATAAGGGGCGAGCCCTAGGGGTAAAGCACAGGCTATGCCCGTGCTTAGCTTACTAAGCCTTAACCGGGGAGCGCTTACTTTTCTTCGGATCTAGACAAAGATTCTTCTCTCTCCTTTATCAAACTTATTAAATACTATATTAAGCCTCTATATATATATAACTCACCTGTAATATTAAGTTCGATCAATCATAGATTCACAGCTACCCGTCAGCTTTACACTAGACCCCGGGTTAACACCGTCGAGAAATGAAAGCCCTTAGCGCGACATGTTAAACGCCTAACTACTAGCTGCCTTCCAAGAAATGTACACGCGCTAATAACAGCTGGAAACCGAATTATTAGAAACGCGTGCCGCTATAAATAACTAGGGGACAAGAGAAGCTTAGCAGGGCCTATCAGGGGACGCGCTAGTCTAGAGCGACTTTATAAGAGCTTTAATTAAGTCGCTCTTAGCAATAACTCGTGCGAGGACTAACCACGAACCATCAGGCCCTAGGGATTAGAAGCCGCCGATATAAGATAGCTGGACAGATGCCTTTTAAGATTACCTCCTAAGGCTTAGAAGCTCGTATCGCGTTTATTCCAGAGTAAAACCAACGCTTTCAGCCGAGTATTATTGGAACACTATCTACAACACCCTCCTAGTATAGGAGAGAGCTTGAATGCATCACTTTTAGGAAAAGGGGGACTCTATAAAAGGCAAGGACCCCGAGGCTTTCTTTATGCAGCTTAATAAGATCTTCTTAGATAGCAACGAATAAGCAAAAGCCCTAGAGCGTCTTATAAATATAAGGCACTCTCTAGGTTAGCCGTGGCATGAATACCAGCTTAAGTTCAATAAACTCCTGCTAAGTGCTAATAGAGAGAGCTGGGAAAATAACGCGAAGATTAGCTACTTTTAAAACACCTTCTTAAACCCTATCTATATATATATGGCCTCTATAGCTAAAGTAATAGACTACTACAAGTTCGCCGCAGAGGTAGAGCGAATTATAACTAACCTGGAAGAAACAGATCAGTTTAAAGCGTTAAATAAGAGGTAGAGAGAGAAGAATAAGGAATCCGGGATAAAAACAATAGTAACCATATATCTCTATAGTTACTCCGCGACCTTAGTAAAGGATAGTAAAGGGGATATAATAATGGCCCTAACACGTACTAGCGATAGCCGCGGGAAAAAGCCTGGGGAATGCTATAATGCAAGCGGAAAGTAGAGAGCTAAATAGGTAGACTCTATAGAAAGAGAGAGACGCCAGGAGAAAGGACTCTATTACTAGTATGGAGCGTTAGGACACTGCATCTACAAGTGCATATACGCTCTACTAGTTTAAACGGTAAAGATTAATGCGGTTAAAGCTAAACCGCTATTAGAAGACGATAATAAAACATTAGAGCCCGCCTCTTTTAAGTCGGGAAAAGAATAGCTCTTAGTTAAAGTTAGGAACTAAGAGCGGAGAAAGCATTAGTAAAGAGATGGGGGGAGGTTAAGGGAGTTATAAATAGAAACCTTATATATATAGACGTAATCCTTTAGAAAACTCTTAGAACTTTCACTCTTATTAATAAAGGGTGCTAATGCTACGCTGCAATAAATGGAGACCTTATAAGAGGCCTTAGACTTATATATATTAGTAATAAAAAGCGTAAGGTAAAAGGGGCCTCCTCTACTATATAGAATTTAGAGGTTAAAGGAGTTATTACACTCTATATAGATATCGCTAGGTTTAGTTAAATAGTCTACGCATATATAATACCAAACCTAGCATTTCTAATGATTTTAGGGAACCTATAAAAGGCGCATAATAAAATATGGACCGCGCCTAATAAATGACAGTTCTATTATAGCAAGGCGGAATAATAGGTAATAGAGGGACGCAACTATAAATACTATATAGACGACAGCGATTTCACCATAGTAGCCGCCGCCGCCTTAGAGGATGTTAGAGCTACCTTAAAAGTTAAGGAAGAGTTATCTATAGAGCAGTTAAGAGAAAAGCTGCCTCCGGAGATTTAAGATATAGCACTACTATTTTCTAAATAGGTAGCAGATACACTAGCCCCTTACTAAATAGGCATTAACTATAAGATCGAGGTCCGCGAATAACCGGACGGATCCCTAACAGCTTTGCTATAGGGGCTGCTATATAGTATATTAAAGGACAAATTACTTATATTAAGAAAGTTACTAAACGAACTCCTAGAAAAGGGGTATATTAGACTAAGTACCTTAGAAGCAGCAGCTCCTATGCTTTTTATATAGAAACCCGGGGGGGATTAAAGTTCTACTACAACTATTAAGTATTAAATGCTATTACAAAACTAGACCAGTACCCCTTACCCCTTATACCAGAGACTATATAAAACCTTATAGGAGCTAAGTGGCTTATAAAGGTTGACGTTATCTTAGCTTTTCATAAGATCCAAATGGCTAAGGACTATAAGTATAAGATAGCATTTCGCACGAGATTTGGTTCTTTTAAGTGGTTAGTATATCTATTCGAATTATCTAGGGCTCTAGCAACTTTTTAGCGGTATATTAATAGTTTATTGCAGGAATGGTTAGATGACTTTGCCTTAGCTTATATAGATAATGTTATTATTTACTCTAGTGGTTTAAGGGAGGATTATTTCTGTAAGGTATAAATTATGCTCCGTAAACTTTAGGATAGAGGACTCTTCTTAGATCTAGGAAAGAGCGAATTTGCATAAAAGAAGATTAAATACCTAGGATTTATTGTTTACGCTAATAGGAAAGGTATAGGGCCCGACCTAGTAAAAGTGGAAGCCGTGTAAGACTAGAAGCTGCCTAAAACCTAAAAGGAAGTGCGCTGTTTTCTAGGTTTTACAAATTACTACTAGATATTTATACTAAACTACTTAAAGTTAGTAGGACTATTAACTATATTAACCGGTAAAGGAACGCCGTTCTCCTAGGGAAAACTAGAGGAGCTCGCGTTTAAAGCGCTAAAAGACAAGTTTTATAAAGCACTAGTGCTTTCCTACTAGGATCCAACACTTCCAACTTTCTTAGAGACTAACTATAGTAGGTTCGCATTAGGAGGCGCTCTCTTATAGGAGAAGGACGGAGTCCGTTAACCAGTTAGCTTTTTCTCTTAGAAGTTAAATAAGTCTAAGATTAATTATAATATTTATAACAAGGAAATACTCGCTGTTATATCCTGCTTAAAGTTCTAGGCCCCTGAACTGAAAACATGTGGCCCCTTTATAATTTAGATAGACTATAAAAACCTTAAGTACTTTATAACAAAGAAGCAATTATTAGAGTATTAAATTTAATAGTATAAGACCATATCAAGGTTCCAGTTTACCTTAGTCTATCGGCCGGGGATTGAAGCTATAGTCCCAGATGCCTTATCTAGGAGGGAGCAGGATATACTAGGGGAGGATGATAAGATATCAAGATTTAGGCGGTTCTTAAGTCTAGACCGCGTAATAAATTAGCCGGAACAAGCGGATAGAGGGGAGGTAGTAGTAGCTACTACATCAGTTTAGTTGCTAGCTACGCAGTTTGATATAGACCTTACTCAAGACTATATAGAACCCGCTTAAGACCACGTGGAACCTAGGCCCCCTTTTTAAGATAAAGAGCTAAATGAATTATAGGATAGAACAGCGTAGGAGGATATACTATACTAGACCATTCTCAGCTTAATATAGAGTAGAGCCTGATCATTTCTAAGCAAGGTTAAATTAAAGATCTAAGTAGGCGATTATAGTATTGATATAGATAGCCGCTTACGCCACTGCGGTAAATTATAAGTTCCTGGAGCACTAGTATCTATAGAGGCCGACTATAATATAAAGGAACCCGTAGCTTGATAAAACGATATTCTAAGAACAAAGTTGATTCAGTCCGTTTATAACTTGCTAGTCTATAGATATCTAGGCTAGGACTCTACTATATTTATACTAGGATGCAACTTCTACTAGCTACTATAGTTAAGATATATAAGATAATTCTTAAGGAACTGTGACTATTGTAGAAGGAATAAGATATAGAGAGAATATAAACACAGACTTCTAAAGCCTCTGCCGGTCCCTGACTAATTCTTTTAAGAGATCTCTATAGATTTTATAACCGACCTACTAGACTCTTAAGGCAATTGTTACCTCTGAGTAATTAAAGACCAACTAAGCAAGTCTATTATATTAGAAGTAATACCTAGTATAAAAGCTAAGGAGTGCGCTAAAAGGTTTATAAAATGCTAGGCATATTACTATAATATGCCGCGAGCAATTACTAGCAATAGAGGCATAAACTGGATAAGCATGTTCTAGAAGACTTTCTACTACTTAACTAGTATATAGCAGAGGCTTAGCTCCAGATACCACCTATAAACTAATGGAGGGCTAGAAAGGTTAAATTAAGAAGTGCAAGCATATCTTTGGAACTTTATTAATCAAGAATAATCAGATTGGAAAAGATAGCTCCCCACTACTTAATTAGCGTTAAACAGATGTTACTAAGCAGGCCTCAGGATAAGCCTATTCTTTATAACTCATAGGTATAAGGCCCTATTACCTATTACGTTACAACCAGAGCCTAACCATAGTTCTAAGCTACCTGCTGCAAAAAGGGCTAAAGCATTTATTAAAAAAATAAAACAGATCACCGACTTATATCAATTAAGTATAGCAGAGTCTACTTAAAAATAAGAGGAAAGCGCTAATAAGAAAAGGACCCCAGCCCTAATCTACCAGGAGGGCGATAAGGTATGGCTAGATCTGCGTAACTACTAAATAAGCCGCCTAAAAAGGAGCCTAGACTATAAACATGCTAAATATATAGTAGATAAAGTATTATTACTAGTCTCTATTTGTTTATTAGGGATCTCTAGTAATATCCACCTAGTTTTTTATATAGATCTATTATATCCAGCAAGCCATAATCCTCTCCCTAGGCAGGAAACTAATAATAAACAACTAGAGCCCAAGTTATTTAAGACGCATAAAGAGTAGCAGGTAGAGGAGATTCTATATACTTAAGATAAAGCAAAAGGGAAAAAGAAAGTTAGAGAAGTACTAGTAAAATGGTTAGGATACTACAAACTAATATAGGAACCCTTAGAAAATTTATTAGATAACGCTGCTATAGATAAGTTTAAAGTTAAATATAGAGATCCTAAAACCTATAATAGACCTTAAGCATTATAGGAAAAGTTAATAAAAAAAAAGGGGGGGATAAAAACGGCTAAAGTCTAATTTTACACGGAGCATAGGCGTTAAGGAGCGGAATCAGGATAATTAGGAGCGCAATGAATTTTATTCACTATTTAAAGAAAAAAAAAAAAAAAAAGAAAGAGAAATAGGAATAGGCCTATAGACTGCTGCAAAATGCTAGGAGACTACATATAAAACCCTAGAATTAGGGATTAGCATGACATGGCCTAAGGACCACCGCTATAGGAACACCGCCAGTACTAACAAATGGTTACCAACGGAAAAGAATTAGAGAGCGGAGTGTAACTTACATTTAACCCTATTAGGCAACTGCGTTCGTTACTGTATTAGTAACCTCTAGAGCAACGGGACTAGAAACCGGCGGTTAGCAACATAAAACGAGCGGAGTCCGGCAAAAATACGTAGAGAGAAGACTAGCCGCCTACAACGGCTTTAAAGCCTTCCAGGCCTTAAGTACCTTGCCCAGATCGGCGAAGGCGTCCGCACTATATCAAGCGTTAGCCGACCAAAAAGAAGCGGAAACCGACTGAAACCTACACTAAAGCGTTAGTAGAGCAGGACCAGACGGCGTAGGCGATATGAGCCATTTAAGGACTGATCGGTTAGCGACGTTTTTCAATCGGAGTCCGACAAATGCATATAGGTTCTCGCAGTTTTTGCGCTTGCAGGCGCACTCGGCACAGGAACGGGACCGGTTAGACTATAGAATCAGCGGAACCCGATGGAAACCGATCGGAATCCGACTTACATTTTAGTTAATGCAGTCGACCCCTAAAAGGGCGCAGCTAATACAGTGGATAATATTAAATATCTAACTCCGATTAGTATTGCGCGGAGTCTATATAGGAGGGGTAGAGGGCATCTTAAGTACTTAAGCACTTAACTACTCTATATAGTATACTATACTTACTTTAATAGTATTAGCGATAGAGAAAGAAAGTTTAAAAACAAATAGGAGAAGGGATCTTATACTTGCTTATTAATAACTATTTACTCTATTATTTGCAGATTTATAATACTATATAGATTTATAATGCTATAGGGTAAATAGTATAACTAAATAGGGATAATAGTAAAAGTAAGAAGTGGGAGAGCTTTACTAAGTAGATAGACTGCGTCTAAAATCTAGTAGAGCCTAGGCAGTTTATAAGGGGAATAGTAGTATAATATCTATAGATTTAGATTATTTGCTACTGCAGTTTTAACTATATTATTTAGTTTCTAATAGATTGTTTGCCGCCTGTAAATAGGCGGAGGGAGGGGGGTAATATAAGGGGCGAGCCCTAGAGGTAAAGTATAGGCTATGCCCATGCTTAGCTTACTAAGCCTTAACTGGGGAGCGCTTACTTTTCTTCGGATCTAGATGAAGATTCTTCTCTCTCCTTTATCGAACTTGTTGAATATCATATTGAGCCTCTGTGTATACGTGACTCACCCGTAACAGTTCTATTCTATTAGTAGAGCTAGAGAAGGAATTATTTAAGAAGCTAGAGGGAGATTTTAAGGCTATAAAATGTAATCTTAAGGAGCAAGCAACTATAGTCTAGGATATTAGAGATTTAAGGTCGGAACAGGTGCTATAGCTATATAACTTAATAGGATTCCTATCTTACCTAGCTATGCTAAAGGATAAGGAGATCTAGAGCTTATATAAGCTGCTACTAAAGAAAGAGCTTAATGCAGGTTATAAGAATACTAAGGATCCTAATCTTATCCGAATCTTAGTTGCAGCTAAGGCTATCTTAAGAGACGTATACTAGTTATATAGCAATACCTTGCTAGACCGGAAAATAACCTAGTAGCAGGCTAATATCCTAAATGAATTCTATGCTAGGGCTTTAGGTAAAGCAGATAGATTCTAGTATTTTAAGAACGCGTTAACCCTAGTTATATACTTTACTACTATAAAGCAGCTATTAGTATACTACTACTACGTAGTATATAGTAAGGATAGCTACTTTACCTAGTCTTAAGCTTAACTAGAAGACTAGCAACTACCTAGGGATGTTATCCAGCTAACTACCCTATAGATTCAAGCTATAAATAAGATTATAGAAGCATTAGATCTTAAAGATTAGGAAGAAGCGGAGCTGGCTCTTAAGCATGCTATTTAATAGCTCTACTTAGCCTTAATCTACTATACTATTAGCAGCGTGCTATTTAAATCACCTGTCTTAAGTTTCTACGCTATATTAAGCAGGAAAGTCCGTGGGAAAGGCTAAGGATTATAGGAGGAGCCGGGGAATTTTAATAGCTATTTATTAGCTTTAACTTAGACTGCCTAGCTAGTGCTTTTTAACTATGCTTATTTTTAAGAGTAGGATAATAAAGATTAAATCCTTATCTTTCTTGCTAAGATCTATAAGAAGTTCTTCTAGCAGCTAGTAGAGACGCTATTTAGGCATATTTTATAGTGGAGGCTATACTTATTTAAGGTTGGAAAGGCGGCAATTACTAAATACTAGGCTTAGTAGTTCTTAGACAGGCAGATAGTGGAATACTATAAGGTGGAATTGCAGATGTCGCAGATCTCTAACTTAGTGGTTTCTAAATATTAATAAGCCTATGCCTTACTATATAATAAGCTTCTATTCTAAGCTAAGGACCTAACTCCTATGGAATTGTAGAGGATAAAGGATAACCTAGATCTAGAAGATTTTAGAGGCTTATAGCTATCCTATCCCAGCAATTCTAAGTTCCTAGAGGGTGCTAAGCTAGCTCTCTTTTAGCGGATCCAAGGCAATACTAAGCTCCGGGCCATATTCTTAACTAAGACTAAGGATGGAAGTAAGGTCTTATATCCTAAGGCTATAGAAATCTATAAAGCACATGCCTAAGAGTTCCTTAAGCAGGCATTAGTGCTCTGCTATATCCCACCTAGCCCGCTATTACAAGAACTGGAATTACTCTTAGTTATATGGCGGAATACTACTTAATAGCGCTATCTATTAATCTAGGAGAAGCTAGTTATAATCTATACCTAGTATTATAAGGGTTAGCAGTAGTCTAGTGCATATAAGAATAATATTCGCTTTATACTAAAGGCGATTAGGGATCTGCTACTTTTATATGTTGCATACGTCTTGCCCTTAAGGCAGCTATTCCTTAGACAGCTAAAGCTAGGTGCTCTTATCTCTCTATATCTCTAGGCCAAGCTAGACGGGATAGTGTAGGCTAATGGGACACTTTTGGCCTGCCTGACTAAAGCATGCACTTATGCTAAGGTGCCACGCCTGCATACGTCTAACTAGCGGCAGTTTATAGCATTAATTACTAAAGAGAAGTTTTCTGTTAAGAAGCAGGTAAACTTTAATCTTGAGGAGGGCGTAGAGGAGGATATTAAGGACGAGCTAGATCTTATTGCCCTAGCTAAACTAAGCAACTATAGCTACTACATATTTAATTATATATATGCTAGTATAATAATACTTACTCTAAATACTCTACTACACCAGGGTTACTAAGCATTAGAGAGCTAGCGTATGTTCTTCCGGTTTAATTATATTCTCTAGGGGAAGAGGCCACAGAGTGCCTTAGAGACACTATTATTATAAATGCTAGATGCCTTAAAGCGGGGCTAAATACGTAGGAAAGGGGCCTACTCTGCGGCTAATCTGCTAGCTATTGCTTGCAGGTTATATAATGCACCGGATATGCAGCTACAAGTCCTAGGATAGCAGGACGGTCTCTTTATAGTTATAGGACTCTACCTGGCTAAGCAAGTAGTCCTAGTAATAGGGACTAGCTCTAGCAAGTCACTTATCTTTATAGTAGGTGCATTGGTTGCTGATGCCTGGACTACGATCTTGGTTCTCCCTATAGTTATTCTCTAAGGTGATATGCTAAGACGCTGTCACCTAATAGGTATTCGGCCCCTGATATGATTAGTCGATACTAAGCAGTTAGCCTTACTTATTATTATATTAGTAGAGGCTGCGTGTACTAAGACCTTCCTTAACTATGCCTATAATCTAGTTAGCCGGTAAAGGCTAGACCGGATTATGGTTAATAAGGGCTATCTCACTATTACTACTAGCGACTACCGCCTATATATAGCGTAGTTGGGCTGGTATATCCGGCAGATTAGGACCTAGACTATTTAGCTAACTGCCACCCTCCCTCTAGTTATATAAGAGCAGTTCCTTAAGTATAATAAGCTGGTTAAGCCGAGGATTATCCGAGAGTTAATAAATCGGTCGAATATCAAGTATCTAGTCAGCCGGGAAACTAGGCCTAGCACCTTAATTAAGAAGGCTGCTAACCTAGTTTACGCATGCTAGCCCTAGAAGGAGCTCTTTAACTATGCCTAGGATAAGATTATCCTCTACTACTAGACCTAGGACAAAGTGGCATTGCTTGCTAATATGCTAGGGTGCCTATTATATACTGCTAAGTCTAGATTAGATAAGGAGAAGGCAGCTATCCTCTCTAGGTGGCTTTCTAATGCAGACTAGCCAGCAATTACAGCTACCTCTACTCTTGGCATTAGATTTAACTATCCTTACATCTACTAGGTAGTTTATATTAATGCACCTAACAAGGTATTAGCCTTCTCTTAGGAGTCTAGCAGAGCGGGGCGAGATAGGGGGAAGGCGTTATTAATTATAATGCTAAGCGCTACTTAGAAGCTGCAACTTAACTAGCCCCTATCCCTAGACCAGGAAGCTATATAGCTATATCTAACGCAGCGGTACTACTTCTAGGGCGTGCTTAGCTAATTCCTTAATGCTTAGCCGGACTAGCGCTAGTATATAGCGGGCGAGGAGGTGTGCTAGGTCTGCGGGGATCCCTATACTAAAGCCTGGCCTTAGGACCTAACATTTGCCCTAGAGACAGCGGCAGGAATAGTCTTTACTGGACTAGAAGAGGTCCTACAGTAAGACTACGCGCGGGACTAGATGCTTAATAGCTATAAGAGAGACCTCTAGACTATAGTTAGCAGCTGCCTCTACTATAGAGTTAAAGGCCGCAGCTTTAAGCATGCAGCCTGCAAGTGCTTCTAGCGGTTCCACTGGATTAATACTAAGAATAAAGCCTACTAGACGCGGAAAGGGGAGGATAAGGACTGGATTAAGCGGTATATAGCTTATTAGAACTGCTATTAACTATAAGACATCTATTAGGTAGCAGATCCGGAGCATAAGGAGATGGAATGCCGGTTCCTAGATATGGTAATGCCGATCTGCTATGGGGTGTATAAATAGGTAGGCGGTCCTAAGTAGCTTTGGAAGCACTTTCAGCGGTCCTTTAAGACGAGGGTATATACTATATCGCAGTTCCGCCGAAGCTGCAAAACAGGGATCTCCTATCTAACCGCTTACTATTTACAGCAGGCGGTTGTATATTCTGCCGGCTAAACTAACCTTAATAGAGAGATTAGATTAGATAATTTAAAATTATTTAATACATCCTAGCTAGATATATAGCGACGCGTCTTCTATTTTTGCAATTGCTCTTCTAAATGTAAACCTAATTAAGTTACTTGCATTCTAGTTATTAACCTTACTCTTATTATATGCAACCTAGCTAATAGATCTTCTCTACCCTAACCGGACCTATAGCGTATTAATTTATATAAAGTGCTAATATACTATCCACTTAACTGCTATTACGTGTTATCTATATAATAACTATAAAGGTGCTATCCTGCATAGCAAGACTTAAGAATATGCTCGTCTATTTACTCCTGATTATCTCTTACCTCCATAAGATATCAAGCAACTCTATGTTCTAATAAACACGCTACTAATCCCTTACCTACGGATCTATAATAATGCTTACTACTATAAGCTATGCTCTCCTAAATAGCCCTTTATTATTTGTGATTAGAATAGGATTCTCGAATATTTAAAGATAGTCTACCAGTGGACTAGAAATAAAGGGTTTAAAGATCGGCTGTCCAGATTACGCCTCCCGCTTAGCACTACTACCTACTTCTCTATCATCTGCTAGACTTTCCACATAAAAGGCTATACCTGCTACTTCCTTATTAATAATAGTAAGCCCGGCTCTAATCCAGCACTGGCTTAACTTACAGACGCCCTTAAGAAACTACCCCTCAGCCTTTAAGAATAAGTGGAGCAGACCCTTACCTAGAAGCTCTAAGCACCTAAGCCTAATATTACCTCGCGCTATAAGACCAAGGTCTCCCTATGGCTTAACTTAACGCAATAGAAGTAGTACTTTTAGAGTTATAACTTAAGTCGGGTCATACCCCTCCTTACTCTCCTATTACCTTATCCCCTATTTAACCCCAATTAGCTAGATAATTACCTTATCCTTATTCTTAATTCCTTTAACTATCTTATTAAGTAAGCCTAAGAATCGCTCTAAACTAACCGGATTAACATCTTTAATTAGTAGCGTGTTAGCAGCTTCTTTACCCGCCATACCACTAACTTCTCGCTAGTGCACAAGCTTTAAGAGGGAACTTACACTACATATAAAAAGGTGTAGAAGCAACTGCTAAGCTTTATTTATTAGCGCGTCTAGCAGAACTAAGGCCCTAAGCTCTCTTATCATCTAACTAACGCTTAAGTGATAGCCCTTAATCAAGCAATGCAAGCTACGGCCGAGCTTGCCTAGGAATAGCAAAGTACTAGTCTAGCGCTAATACAGCTTTAGCAAAGTCTTAATTATGCTATGATTCAACTATGTATCTTACTGCTAGACTATGCTTTATTTGATATAATTTATAATAGCATCGTTGTTATCTTTATAGCAGTTCTTAGTATTAGAGATCCTGAATTATCGGTCGATTAGAATACTACATTTAGCGATTCTCTATATTATACCCTATATCTCTCTGCCTTTATTAAGATAGCCCAGCTCCTTATTATTTAATAGGCAGTGCTTATAGTAGATCGAGGTAAGGTTCCATATATTACTAATATATTAAATGTTATACAAGAGCGCTTTATGGTATATGGCACATACTCCCCTATAAACTAGGCATAAAAGCTATGTAGTTTTAGAAAGTAGATCAATGAGATTACCACCTCTCTAGGATATATCTCCTAGACCGACGACAGCGAATACCTTAGCTATAAGGGCCTAGAGCTAGGCATAACCGACTTAAAGAAGTTCCTAGTAACCTAGACAGCCGCTGCATAGTCGCTCCTAGAGGAGCTGCTACATATATATCTAGACGAGGAGCGAGGCGACGTTATTCCACCGGTTAATCTTTACCGGCTTAAGGACAATCCGGCTAATAGCAAGCTTAGGGTTAGGGTTAGGGTTAGGGTTAGGGTTAGGGTTAGGGTTAGGCTTAGGGTTAG